TTGAACCCACGCCCTTTCGGACCAGAACCTTAATCTGGCGCCTTAGACCAACTCGGCCATCTCAACTTTTGAAATTATTTTGATATTTAATTAAGTCAAGTTAATTTTATTATTATTCTATGATTAATTAGGATACTGTATCAATATCTATTAAAAAAATTGTTTTGATAGTTTTATTGTATGATTAATTGAGTCTAATCCAACTAAAACTTTATAATCTGTAAGTATATACATATCAACATGTCTTACAATGGTAAGATACATTATATGATTTGTATAAGCTTTGACGTAGTTGTAATATTTGCAATTTAATTTTATCACTGTGGCCATTCAGTCTTAGATTGTATAAATCTATTAATATCTCTTAGGGGTGTGTTTGGTTCAAACGAGGGGAGCGGAGGGGTGAGATTTTAGTGAAAGAGGGGGCGAGGTGAAGGGAGGAGAGAATATTAAAGCAAAATAAAATAATATTTTTGTATTTGGTTAGACTAAAAAAATAAAATAAAAATAGAGTAATTTTACTATTTTGCTCTTATAATATATAAATAAGAAAAATAATAATATTTGAAGTTTCATTAATTTATTAGTAAAATATATATTCCGACGTAGTAGGTAATATAAGTATAGTTTAGTTTATAATACGAAAGTATTTATTAAAACTAAAATACAAATAAACATAATTTTATTTAAAAATAATAATGGAAAAAATATATAAAATATAACGATTAAATTAATTATTAATACTAATTCTAATAATTTAAGATTTAGTTAATTTAAATATATTTATTTAAATATCTTATTGTAAATTATAATTATATTTGTTATAATAGAATTTTTTAAAAAATATATTATAATTGAATTTAATTAAAATATTTTAAAATATATAACTATATTGTGATACCCGAGTTTTTTACTACTCATTGGCCAATATATATTTCATATTTTAGGTGCTGGTAAATTACTTATATGTTAATTTGTGGTAGTTTAAATATACCTCATGAGTTGCATACATTAGTTTACTTGAGTATTAATTGTTTAATTATATGTTCTGTTTATATTATTTATGTGTTAATTTATAATTAGTTGAGTATAATTCATGCTTTGAGTGCACTTTATATTATTTATATGTCATTGGTGATGTTAAGTTATTTACTTTACTATTAAATGTTAAATTGTTTATAATTTGGTATATGCTTTACCTGTTTATTAATAAGAAAATATATTGGATAAATTAATTGGATATCAGTGATGTAAATTAAATATAGATAAATCGAAAATTAATTATACTAACTAAATAAAAAGTAAAATAAATAGAATAAATAATAATAATAATAATAATAATAATAACAACAAAAAAATTTAAGGCGGTGGGGGTGGGGAAGAAAAATTAATATAATTTGTCTCCCTTCCCCTTTCCTCTCCATAAAAAAAATAAATAAATAAATTAAACTGCAAAAACATTATAATCTCTGCCCCTCCCCTTCTAATTCCTCAAACCAAACAGACTTAGGGAAAGTTGTTATTAATAGACGTCAGGGCTATACCTTATTTTTGGATGTGGCTAGGATGAAACAATAGTTACGAATTTTAAATATATATAAATAATATTTTTTAATATATTTAATAAAATATTAATAATTAGAAAGTAAATTTTTCTAATATTTTTAGATGAAAAATATCAATAATAGTATTAATATTAATTTATTTAATATTTACTTTTTAACTAACAAAAAAGTCTTAAAACAAAAATAAGAGGCTCCTAAATATATATATAAATAATATTTTTTTTACCAATAATATAATATAAGTAATTAAATAAAATAATTTTTTTAGTATTTTTAGATGCAAAAATATTAATAATAGTATCATTATTAATTTTATCTATCATTTTCTTTTTAGTGCATAGAAAATAAAAACAAAAATTAGGATTCCTAACTATATATAAATGATATCGAGAATTTTTTAACTTATAATAAAATATAAATAATTAAATAAAATATTTTTTCTAGTATTTTTAAATACAAAATATCAATAATAGTATTAATATTAATTTTTTTAATATTTTTTTAATATAAAAAAACTATTATAAAAAATAATAAAATAATTGCGCAAGTTTGACGGCATTGGGATCTAAGTGCATCAATGTTGTAATAGTTTTCAAACTCAAGCATCTAATTCACAGTTTCCAAGTGGTTTTTCTCTAGTTGTAACTATTAGAATTTATCAGGAATTTAACCCTAAGTTCAAGATCTATGGTGTTATAATAATTGAGATAAGAATAAAGCAAATTAGATTTTACCTTATTCCTCAGCATAGTCGGATTCAGATCTGCAAATTGATAGAGGGTTTTGTGTTCTTCAAGCCTATGGCGCAACCCATCCTGAGAAAACCGCCAGGGTTTCTGCCGTTACTCCCACGATGAAATATGGAACGTAATGGTTGTTGCGTCTAGACGTGGGATCACAACCCTATTTATATCCCTTATTATTAATTGGCCTCATCACCCAATTAATAATTTACCGGGTTTCTGCACATTGGAGGACCGCACTTACTAAACACATTTAAGCCCAATAAATTAATAGATCACTTAATATAGATTACATTTAACCCACAATTGGATTTTTAATCCAACAGTAACTTCTGTAAAATCTTCAGGTGCTAACCAATCAATCTTAATCAAACATTATTTTCTATTCGAGCTATCTGATGTTTGAGATTTTGAGCTTCTGCAACTGAATTATGCAGAAGTAGTAGAGATGAAATGATATTATCTTCTTCATCATCATTTATGGACTTCTCTCCATATGAGTTTTGACGGTATTTCTACACCTTAAACTCCAATTCTGATCACTCTTGAATGATGCAGCGAAATGAAATGCAACCTCAAAACGTTTGTTGTGTTCAAAGTGATACTGTTTGCTTGAGATTCGAACAATAACAAGCAACAAAAAATGGAGTGCAGAATTAATCGAAACAAACAGCACACCAGCATTTGTTGACCAAGTTCGGCCCTCAACCGTCCTACGTCTGGGGGTACCAACACAAGAAAATTCCACTATGAGTAAGGCAGGAACAAGATACAAAAGCTCCTCACACACACTCCACAAATCAACAACCACAAACCCAACTTAAATGTATTGGTTTCCCTACGACATACAAATGCATCTTTCTTCGCAAAGGCAAGCATGCAAGGACTCGACCTCCATTGGTTGTGCTCTGAAATGGGACGATGTTGTAGGCAGCTTGTCACCTTCTCTTCCTTCGACTCTCTTTGCAATCCCCTTTGAACCAAAAAAACACTCGGCAGTTTGTCAAAACAACATACTGTTGTGATTCCTTCAGGATGTGATTTTGACTTCAAATCTCCAGCAACTTCGACATGGTTCAGACTCAATGTAATAGATAAAAATCCTCTACTAAAAACATGGTCTAACCTCCCACAAAAATCCCTCAAAATAAAATAGAACACTCACCTCAACTAGAAGTGAAACTCAACTATTACACCATGAGATTTGGGCTTTCCTTTCAGTGAAGATGAGTAGAACTCTTCAAGTTCTCACTCTCTACTTAGAACACGAAAGATATTACATTTTTTCTCTTATATAATTATGAAAGCCCCATTTCCACAATTTTATGGGTAGTGTATATATATATACATACACAAACCCACTTCTTCCAATCAACATTCGACAATAAATGGACTTAAAATGGTCAACTATGCCAAGACGCATCTCATGACACATATCTAGCATATGGGACAAAATTGATATGTCAAACTCCACATAAATATCTAGAAGAAAGAGATAGTCAATACTACCTCTTTTGGTAATGGGTGTTTGAAACATTTTTCTTCCTTTATTTTTGACATTCCTTTTGCATGCAATTTCGTGGAACAAAACCATTTTGTCTTTATATGAAGTAGGACAATGAGATATATATTTTGTCTCACTTTGAAGCTTTTTCAATGACCAGAACATCAGAACTTGAGCCATGAACTCGAGCAGGTTGCAGTCTTGCAGATAGCTGATTGGTTGTATGATCTTTCTACAGATCCAAAACAGACTGAGTCTCCCTTCCTTTTTCTTCATCTCTTTTTGACTTTCCATTTTGATGCAAGCACGAGGGACAAGGTATTTTGTCTTTGATTACAGTCAAGCATTAAGATAAACAATTTTTCTAATGTTGGAGCTTTTCAAAGACCAATATATCAGGCCTTGAATCGAGCATCAAGAGTAGATTTGAAGACATGCATGCATCTACTTGGTTGTCTCATATGTCTGCGGATCCAAAATGGGTAGCGTGTCCCTTCCTCTTTCTTCATCTTTTTTTTTTTACTTTCCAAATCAATGCTTACACATTTTTCGTTGTGCCTTTTTTCAATGAAATAAACAAGATTTCAATTGTCTTTTTATCTGTGAAAAAATTTTTCCAACTCAGAAAATATGTGGAAAAACATTTTACATCAGCAGCCAACGTGGACAATTTAGCAGCCACACATGCACCAGTTGATTGTCTGAACATTTTGCAAATCTTCGATACATCACAAATTTTTTAATGCCAACAAGCTTAATCGATCATGTTGGAATAATTGATATAAACTAAATTTTTCAAAATAATAATTAGGGTACACCGTCATATATATACACGGGGTTATCAGTTGGACTATATACATAAATGAATATATATACAATATATATCAACATTCCCTCAAACTCAAGGTGGGACTGTGGAACCCAACTTGAGTTTGCTCAAGAACGACTAAAAACGGCCTGGAAGATGGGGCTTGGTGAAGCCATAGGCAGGTTGCTCTGCGGAAGAGGTGGGAGACAAAGGGACGTTGTTGTGAGCAATGTGATGATAAACGAGGTGACAGTCGATCTCAATGTGCTTCGTACACTCATGGAAAACATCATTAGTCAAAATTGTCATGGCACTCTGTGACAATGAACAATAGGAGTGGAGGACTGAGGCACACCGAGATTAGCCAGCAGCCAACAAAGTCACAGAAGCTCGGAAGTGGTATCGACAAAAGCTCTATACTCGAACTCCGCACTAAACCGAGAGACGACTGTTTGTTTCTTACTGTGCCAAGAAATAAGTGAATCGCCAAGAAAGAAACAGAAACCAGTGGTCGAGCGGCAATCGGTAGGGTCGTTCGCCCAATCAAGATCAGAATAACCGGTCAATACCAAGGACGAATACGCTGAATAATAAAGAAGAGTGCCTTTGATGTACCAAAGAATCCAGAGAACAACAAAATAATGAGTCATCCGAGGTGCAGATATAAACTGACTAACGACATGAACAACATAAGCAATGTCAAGTCGAGTGACAATCAGGTAGATCAGGTTTTCCGCCAGCTGATGATACAGGCTAGAATCATCAAGAGGGACGCCATCCATCAGAGTAAGACGGCAGTCAGAATCAAGAGGTGTAGGAGCGGTCTTTGAGTCCGTGAGACCCGCTATAGGGTCGAAGGCATACTTGACTTGAGATAGATAGTATCCGTTGGAGGTGTCGGAGATCTCAAGAGCGAGGAAGTATCAAAGGGGTCCTAAGCTCTTCATCTCAAAGTGACGGTGTAGATGATCATGCAGCTCTGATATACCGGATTGATCATCACCCGTTATGGTCATGTCATCCACATAAAGTAGCAAAATAGTAACTCCAGAAGACCCACGAGGAATGAAGGGAGCTGAGTCATGATAGCTGGAAGTAAAGCAAGTTGGAGTAAAGCAGAGCTAAATTTTGAAAACCAAGCTCGGGGCGCCTATTTCTGGCCATACGAATCACGACGAAGTTTGCATACCTTGGACGACGTAGGAAAACCTGGAGGAGTAGACATATATATGTCGTCGGATAGCTCACCATGCAAAAAAGCATTCTTGACGTCAAGCTGGTACAAGGGCCACTGACGAGCAACAGCAATAGAAATGAGACAATAGATGGAGGTGAGACGAGTAATCAGAGGAAAAATCTCGTCAAAGTCGATACCATACTCCTGAGTGTAGCCTTTAGCTACCAAACGAACCTTGTAGCACTCAATGTATCCATCAGAGTGAGTTTTGATCCAGAATACCCACTTACAATCAATAGGTTTCTTGTCGGTAGGAAGATCAACCATATCCCAAGTATGACTTTTCTCCAAAACCTATAAATATTGAGACATAGCCTACCGCCACAATGGATCCGCATACGCCTCACAAAAGGACCAGGGTTCATGGTGGGACAAGGTGGTAGAGAAGTAGTGATAATCAAGTAATTGAGTAGGGAGATGACTATCCCAGAGTGGAACGGCGAGAGCCAGGATCAGGATCCGGGATTGGAGGAGTGTTAGACTCTGGGAGAGGTGAGGGATCAGGATCGGGAGTAGTAGTAGGCTCGGGGTTAGCGTCGGTTTGGGAGGTGCAATCGGGACAGCGTCAGGTGCAGTAGACGGATTGTTGCACCATTGGAAGGAAATAGAGATGGTGAGGACAAGGTAAAGAAGGGAAATGAACGATCAAAGGGAATTCGAAAGTGGGACAAGGTAGAAAACTTAGTATGCTCGAAGAATATGACATGACGAGAAGTATGTACCCTATTGGATGTAGGATCCCAACAACGATAACCATTATGCTCTACCCCGTATCCCAAGAAATAACATAGACCCGCGCGAGGTTCTTACTTAGTGCGTTTATGAAGAGAAAGAAGAACAAAACTGACACAAGAAAAATGGTGAAGAAGACTATAATTAGGAGCTCGATTAAAACGTCTTTCAAGGGGACTGACATTACCTATGATAGAGGAAGGAAGACGATTTATAGTGTAGACAACGGTAAGTGCGGCTTTTCTCTAAAAAACGATCCGGACAAGAATCAGATAAGAGAAGAGTGCGGACTGTATGAAGGATGTGACAGTGTTTACGTTCATCATGACCGTGTTTTAGAGAGGTGTATGTGTAGGAACGCTGGACAACGGTACCCTAATCAGAGAGAAAACGGAGAAAGGAAGAATCTGTATGCTCAAGAGCATTATCTGTGCGAAAAGTTTTGATAGTGGAGGAAAACTGGGTTTGTATCATTTTAGCGAAATCCATATAAATAGAGGAGATTTCAGAATGTTGTCGCATAAAATAAATCCATGTAAAGCGTGAATAGTCATCGATTATTTTCCCAACGAACAATCCACACAATCAAAAGATTAGGGTACATTGTCATATATATATACATGGGGTTATGGTCCGGGCTATATACATAAATAAATATATATACAATATATATCATCAACAACATTTATAAATTCTATCATTTTTTTCAATCGAGTGTTGTAAACTCTATATGCTTTGTTGTTCAAAGAGTATCCAAGGAAGACACTTATTATTATTATTTTTTAACTCGAATTGAACTCTTGAAGTTGATTTGTCCTTCAATGTGTAGGACCGATAACAAAATATCCGAACTTAGGAGATATTTTTCTTATTTCCTTTCCACAATTCATAAATGGTTGAGTCAGTGTAGGGTCTTAAGCTTACGTATTTATGATATATCATTCTATGTTAACAACTTCCATCCATAAGAATCTGGCTACTCCTTTTGCTTATGTCATTTTTTTTCCATTTCTTGCAACGTTTGGTTATTTGTTGCAAATACTCCATTATGATGAGGAGTTTTTGGTGCTAAATACTCAAAACAAAATTTCATGCTCTTTACAGAAAACGTCAAACCTCATATTATCAAACTCTTTTTCATAATTAGTACTCAATTGTTCACATTGGCCTTTTTTCTCGTTCATCAAAAGATTACAAAACTTCTCAAAACCTTCAAAATGTATCTCGTTGTGCATGTAGAAATATACCAAACTATACATTGTAAATCATCAATGCAAACAAGGATATTTCTCTTTCCACCTAGGCTTGGTGTATTGATTGGACCCGCCAACTCTATATATAGTAAATCCAATAAGCCTGTGTTACCCTGTTGTTCTAACACTGGGTATGATACCATTATTTGCTTTCTACAAAGTAGAAACGTTTTTGAACTTTGGAAGTCCATTGATTGCACCACTTTTGCTCAACTTCATGAGATTTTTTTGATTGATATGTTCATCTCTGGTATTCCATAAAATCACTTCTTCATTCTTCAAAATTAAAGTTTGTGTCTCCAGATTTTCAAGCAGGTAAAAGTTGTTCCTTGATCGAATACCGGACATAACACACTGAAAAGTAGAGTTATAGACTTGACAAGAATCTTTTGTGAATTTAATTTGTAGATGCTCATCAAACAACTGACTTATACAAATTAGATTGATATTCATCCCTTTAACATAATAAACTTTGGAAAGTTTAGAAATACCTTCGAGTTCTAAGATACCATAACTTACAATCTAATATTTAGCTCAATCTCTAAAAATGACATACATATTTATCTATAATGAATCTTTCAGAAGGTGTCTTCCGCTGGCCATGTGACGGGAACAACCACTTTCAAGCTTCCATCTAGTAGAAGTTGTGGTTTTTTGGCTAGAGGGAATAAAATAGCATTTCATCCGGGCTTGAACACTCTTTGGTTTTCATTTCATCTTGAATGTGATAAATTTTCTAAGATCATTTGAGGGGCAATGGATGCATCTTTTAGTCATTAGATCTTTTGACAACTATTCTCTAACTATTATAAATTTCTAGATTTCTTATATTTTTCAAGCATCTTTAGCTTTTGAACCTCTTTTGAAAATTTTCGATCTGTATGAATTCTATCTTTTGAAAATATAGTAGACTTAATGTCCATTGAGTGACAAAAGCCGAAGCCTTGACAATCTCTAAATAGTTTACAAATTGACAGAACTTAGTGTCCATCAAACATTATCTTTTATCCTTCAATACTACCATCCTTTTGTATCTAGTTGCACATCGTCCTGTTATTGTTTTCAATGTGGAAGTATGTACAAAGTTTCAATCAGCCTCAATGGAGTCTCAATTAGAAGCAACAAAGCATATATTCAATACATTCATAGGACTCGTTTATCAAAAAAAAAAAGAAAGAAAAAAGAAAAAAATTCATGGGACTTTTGAATTTGGCTTTTAGTAATCACAACATTCTATTCTTGATCTTAACTGAGTCAGACTGGACATATTTTTGTGATGAGCAGAATAGCACGACTGGTTGATATTTTATATATGTGATAATTTGGTGAGCATGAGTACAAAAAAAACACAATATTATGGCATTTGAAAGCTGAAGTAGAGTACGTTATTGGGCTCAGTTTTTGTGGATTAGATAGATGTTGTATGACTATGAAAATAAATAAATTCTTTTGTATTGTTGTGTGATAACACCTGTGTAATAAACATCTCTAAGAATCTAATGCAACATGAAGAGACAAAGCATTTTGACATCCGTTACCATTTTCTTACATATTTGGTGGACTACGCTCTATGCATTCTCAAATATATTGGAACAAATGGTCAAAATATACATATTCTCAAAAATTCATTGGATAATGATCATTTTGAAGTTGCAAAGAGAATTAGGTATGTGTTCACAACTAAACTAGAACGATTTTATGTAACTATATTTTTCTGCCCTGCAATAATATATTTATATAATATAATCTTTTGAATATTGGAAAATAAATGAAAAGAATATAAAAAGATAATATAACGTAGTCAATAATCATTACTCTGAAGGTTGTCAATATTGGTGAGTGAACTAATGTGATTGTTGCAAGATGACATCGGTAATAGTTTAAGACAATTTGCAATTCGAATTTCATATTTATGGTAGTTGTGTAACTTCTCATGTGATCATTGTTATATAGGTGTGTGCTTGGGACAAAAGCCTCCTATTTCCAATAGCTCTCTTCAACACTCATATCCTCATTTCTCTAAAAATTCATGGCTCGAATTCGGTTTGGTGGAAGATGCTCTAGGAGACTTGGAACAAGAACTGGTGGAAGATATCCTACTTCTCACCCGATTGAAAAAAAAAATCCTCACCTATTGTGCCTTATGTTCTTGGTTCAATAGTTGATGCAAAACTTATATCCTCGGTGATTCCTAAACTGGAACCTCCTTTAGAACTATTGTAGTAGCTAAACATACTACTAACACACCTGTTGTAACTCACAAACTGATCATGTTGAAACTACTATTGAAAAGGGAACTCCAATGACTAAGGTTGGTGATATCAATGTTCTAGCGGTCACTTCTCTTATAGTTAAACCAAATCAGACCATATAAACCACGATTATCAATGTTTCCATTGAAAAACACATTAAGTTAGTTCCAAACCATCATGATAACATCTCTAAAAAAGTAATATACACTGTTGTTGATGCAAATACTAAGCCGACAAAAGAAACTGCAAATGCACGGATAGAAATTGTAAAGATAGAAGTTGTTACTATAATGGAAGCTCAACCAAAT